TAAGGCAATATTCTGAGGTTACAGCAAGTATGAGAATTTTGGGGAGACATCATCTAATAAGCCAACCAACTTTTTTCTCATTCTTTATGTCATCTTTCTAAATAGTGCTAGCCAACAAACTGGAGACAAGAATCCAAGCTTTATTCACCCCATCTTTCCCTGATTTCATACCCCAATTATCACCAAAGCCTGATCATTTTTAGTTCCTAATATCTCTAGAATTTAGAGACACTTTTTTAAATCTCTAATCCTTCATCTCAGCTATCACTCACCCTTCATATCTTATGTTTGTACTATTGTCCAAGACAAACACAATACTTCAGAACTATTTAAGCATAAATAGGCAGACTGTGTGTGTGTATGTGTGTGTGTGTGTGTGTGTGTGTGAGAGAGAGAGAGAGAGAGAGAGAGAGAGAGATGCAAGCATGCATTTTGGACATGGTAACATATGTAAAATCTTATCTGCGTTTCTAATTTTTCACTACAGAACACTTCTGTTTCTTTATACTCAACATCCTCCTTCAAGGATAGAGGAACTGAAAGTAGAGTGGTTTTTGTGTGGAAGGCTTGGCCTTTGTCACATCTCCTTTTGACTTAAAAGACTGTACCAGTCTTTAGTTTGTCACAAAATCCATCGTCACTGTAAGTTGATTTATTAGATTTCAAGCCCTCTCTGGGAAAGGCAGACTAGAATGGTCCATTTCAGTATTGTAAGATTCAATATTATATTAGACTCCAGAGGCTCCATGATAACAGCATTTATTCTCATTTTTTAAATATACAAACATAATAATGAAATTGCATGAGTTGCCAACCATTATTACACACACACAAACACACATACACATACACACCAAACAAATTTTAAGAAAAGCATTTTCTTCTAAGATATATTAGCTCAGTCCAAACAGATTAATCTGAAAGTAAATTATTTTATGGCAATTCAAATATAAGTTTGACTGGTAAGATTGCTTAACTCTTCCCCATCTCCTGTGGTTTTGTTCATAAAACAATCACATTGGATCTCAGTTTCCTCTTTCTCTTGAAAATGAAAACTTATGTTAACCATGCTGATTTTCACAGTCCCAGATGGGGACTATTTTGCATCAGCATAGTAGATTACAGGGTTTAGCAGGAAGCAGAGCCTAGGGGTGAATGTGAGAGATTGAGAAAGTCTTTTAACTCTGTTGATATTGTCTGTGAATGCTTCTCCCTATATAAGGATTCCAGCTCTCTTTGCTAGAACCTGTAATCCGTAAGTGTTCTCCTCTGTTCAGGAATACATACAGATCAAAAATATTTTTATAGTCAAGACAGCTCTGAAATTCCCTAGTCAAACTTTTCTCACACAAACTGTAGCATTTTAAGAATCGGGGTGACCACAGGATTAAAGCAAATCCACTTTGCTTTATAAAGTCCATAGAATACATTATGCTTTGACAGATGGATGAAACTGCTATTTGGAGACAGGAGGATAATTCCAAAGACTGGAGAATAGTGTTGCTTGCAGGAGCCCAGATTCATGCCCTGCACAGCATGGTCCCCTGAGCACTGTGAGGAATGATCCCTGAGCATAGACAGAGCCAGGATAATCCCTGAGCACTCCTGGATATGACCCCAAGACAAAAACAAATGTGATTTGTCATTGAGAGCTAGAATGAAAAGTATATCTCTACTGAGTAAAAAGGCTATTAGATTTCCTAAATTCAAATCCAACTGAAATGAAAAAAAATTATAATAACTTTTCACTTTTTGGATATATTTAAATGTTTTACCTAAATTTCTTTTCATATAGTTATACTGAGAATTACTTAGAAAATGTACATGAAGTGCATTCATATAAACATTTCTAAGATTAACAGGATTCAGAAAGATGTACTTATGGGAGAAGTTCTAAAAAAAAAGAAAAAATAAACTTTAATATTATTCCTGATAATTGTATATATTATATATACAATATAAGTAATAATATTGTATCCTGATTAAATAAGCTCATTTCATCATAGAACTTGTAGTTTGTTTTTAATATTAATAAATTAATCATTTTTCTCTAACTAAATTAAAATTTTGTACTGAAGGAATGGAATATAACTGAATTTATTAAGTCATTCAAGGAGGGTTATGTCTTATCAACATTTTAAAATACAATTTCAAATGGCTCTTTTCTCTCATTTCCAATGAACAGTGAAGAAAACAGTTTTGATTAAGCCTGTTTTGCTCATTTAATACAAGAAAGAAAAAAAAATTAGTGGGGAGAGTGCACAGAGAACCTTGGCAGTACTCTGTGATATTATAATGATACATCCATGTCATTATATCTTTGTCTAGTCCCACAGAATGAACAACACCAAGAGTTATCAGCCATCCGTATTTATCTAACTATGGACTTTATGTGATTATAATGAGTCAATGTAGGTTTATCCATCATAACAATTGTACCAGTCCTGTGTACAATGTTAATAATGAAAGAGCTTATGCACGCGCCTGGACAGGACATACTCTGGAAATCTCTTTACCTTCCTTTCAGTGCTGTTATTCATAAAAAACAAAAACTTTGAAATATTAAGCAAAATGCTTTCTTTCTGAAAAATGTGATTTTTTGCATTACATTGTTTTGTGTTGTGCAAAACATGAATATTTGCGGTATTAGAGCCATAAATACAAAAGGAACCAAAGTATTTCTTCTCTGAACCTTCTCTCTATATATATTTATAAAATAGGCAATCCCCCAAAGTAGAGACAGAGTATGGGGAAAATTGTCTGCCATAGAGACAAGGGGAGGATTGGGATTGGGGAGGGGGGATACTGGACAACCTCGTAGGTGGAAAATATGCACTAGAGGAGGGATGGGTGTTCCATCATTGAATAACTAAAACTCAAACATGAAAGCTCTGTAACTGTATCTCACAGTGAGTCAATAAAAATAAAAATAAAAAAATAAAATAAGCAATCCAATAAGAAACATTAATTTCTTCAGAATTGTTTATAATTTAAAAATTATAAACTTCCATTTAAAAATTACTCTATAGTGCTCTTTAAAAATTTGACCCAGTTCATCATACAATCTGGCAATTCCACTAAATATCTACCCATTGTAGCACTGTCCTCCCATTGTTCTTCTACCAGGCCCAGAGAAATAAAATCATATATATTCACAAAGAATTACTTATTTTTGTTTTTATCAGTATGAGTTGCAATAACTTCAAACTAGAAACAATCAAAAGTCTTAACAATTGACAAATGAACAGGCAAAATACAGTAAATACAATGGAAAACTATTCAACAATAAGGTTAGGGATATACAAATATACACACAGCTTAGTGGTAGAGTGAATGTCTTACATGCCAGAGTCTCTCGGCTCAATCGCCAGTACCACCAGAAAAGAAAAATATCTACTGAACAATGAAAAAAATAAAATGCTTACAACAAGCATGAGCTTCAAAAAACAGTATGCTAGGTGAAAAAAAATCATAAACGAAAGACCATATATTTGTAGAATTCCTCTTATGTGAAATATCTGGAAGAGGCAAATGTCTCAAGACTAAGGGAGAACAAAAATTCATTATAAATAGATTTTATTGGATGAAGAAGATGTTCTAAGACTCATTGATGGTGACTGCTTTACCAATTGGTAATTTCTTTTTAATCACCGAAAGGGATAAATTTCTAATCAAGTTCTAAAATTCTACTTCAAAACTGACTAAAGAAGAGTAAAAATCTTTTAACGAAGATAAAATGTGGCCCATTTTCGTAATATCTCGCATAAGATATTCCATTAAACTTCGGGTTGTATAAAGTTGTGGCAAAGAGAAAACTTTGCCACAACTGAAAAAAGGTCAACTAACTAGCAACGTTTATGCAGAGAGGGTGGGGGAAAAAAAGGTATATTTTGCTTCTAAATTAAATCATCCAACTTCTCAAAACACCTTTTTAGGAAATAAACTTTCAACCGTTATTAAGTAGTAGTGTAGTAGTGTAGTTTCGGTTGTTCTTTTTCCTCCCCCCTCCACCCCCCCCCCCCCCCCCCCACATTGAAGTAGTCACTGGTACAGAAAATTCACTCTGCCTGCAGGCTGGGGGTGGGGAGAGGTGGGGAGCAATTGTTGCTGGCTTTGTTTTCGTGTTTCTCGGGTGCCCTGCTCCTACCAAGCGCTTTTCCAGATCGACTCGTCTGGCTGCGCTCCCTCGGATGAATTCTAGGAAGATAGTACTAGTGTCAGGTAGGTCTGGGCCCCAGCTGGCCAGGTTTAGCCGACCTCACTGCAGAGGCACTTGGGAAGCTTCTCCCAGAAGAGAGCAGCAGCTCTCGGGAAGGACCCACACTCCTCCATCTCCGAATCCCCTGGGACCATTTTGCACCCACAGTCCCTTCTTGGCCGCCTGCCAGGGCCCTAAGCATCAGAGAAAATCATTCTTGTTAGGAGACCCCTGGAAACCTTAAGCCCAGATATCTCTGTATTTTTTTCAGTAATGTCGGGATACTTGAGGTGACTACACTCAAGTCACACTGCTCGATTCTGACACACAGGTAGAAAGAACTCGGGCTCTGCTCTTTTCTAGCCTCGATTGGCAGCTTGGACCTGGGAAAGCGCAGCCTTAGGAAAACGACGTGGCATTCATTGGCGGCGGGAGAGACGGACAGGGTCAGCAGTCATTAAAAATAGATCATCTATACCCACCGTCGGTGGACCAGAGGGGAAAATCAATTAGAAGACAGTGAGGGAAAAAGAAAAAAAAAATCCCCAGACAGGTAACCAGATCTCTAGGGTTAAGCCTGAGGACACCAGCGCCCCTTCTCGCATTCCAAGTCCCCTACTTTGCATGTCACTGCCACGATCGCTCCAGCCTAAGGGGCGATCGCCGGGACTGCCCCCGCCCCAGGATGGTGCAGACGGGGAGGGGGAAATGTGAAAGTTGCACTCGTGCTAGGGTTCGGTCTCCCCCGACTCTCCAAGTCTTTTTCCCTCCCAGTCCCGCGGCCCCTCCAGCAGGTACGTACCGGCAGTGTCCGGGCCACGTTCCCTCGCGCCCCGGCGCTGGCCGCCTGCGTGTGACCCGGAGCGGCGACGCGTGCACTGGCTCGCTACCACCTTTCCAGCCGGGCGAGATGCTGCCGCGCCTGAGCAGCTGCCTGGAGCTCCGCCAGGCGGCGGCGGGGACTCGGGGGGCGGAGGCAGCCGCCGCCAGGATCCGCCCCCGGGAGCCGAACGGGGCTCCCGCGGGCCGAGTCCTGCGCAAGGTGCGGCCCCAGCCGGGCGGCCCTTCCCGGCGGGCGCACCAGACCCGGCTCTCTCGTGCGTGAGCGTTGGCACACGACTAATCATCAGTGATGATCACAGAACCCGTGTCCTCCCCAGCGGCTTTGCTCTCTGTTGCCACGAGTGACTGTTCAGGTTCTGTTTAGAATTTGCTTGAGAGGTCTACTGGAATTTTGTTTTCCTGCTCCTGGACATCTTGTTTACCGTCCAACCCGTTTGTGTGTGCGCTGCGAGGGTTTGTGTCCAAGTGTCATAAGGTTGCCCTTTAATCTAATTGTGGCTGTTCGGGGAGGTAGGAATGTGCGTGGTTTTCCAATGGGCAGCCCAGGATCTGGATCTTTGCGTTTATTCACAGATTGTAATTTGCAGATAGAGAAGCAACATGTAATGCCCATAACTTTTGTGCAAAAAAGAGGAAAGAAAGAGAGGCAGATAGAGAGAGAAAGAGAAAGGAAGAAAAAGAAAGAAAGAGAGAGAGAAAGAAAGAGAAAGAGAGAGAGAGAGAGAGAGAGAGAGAGAGAGAGAGAGAGAGAGAGAGAGAGAGAGAGAGAGAGAGAAGGAAAGGAAGGAAAGGAAAGAAAGAAAAATGATTTCTATCGAGTTTCACTTTAAGGTTCCACTGAGGAAAATGAGGTCCTTACAGTTACCTTAAGACTGTGTCCTTTAAATACCCTATTAAATGGTTAGCAACACTGCTGATAAAATTAAGATGCTCTTCTAGGCTTCATGAGGTGGTTTCTTCATGCAGGAGCCCTGAGATTTCTGATTACCTGAAAGTCATGACATGTTCAAAGTTTTAACAGAAGTATGTTCTGTGTTCATGGCCACTCTGCTCTGGTTTCCTAGCCATGGCCAGGCCCACTGCACTACTTGTTCCAAATTACCTTCTTAGGCAAAGGCTATGAAGATGCGAAATGTAATGAGGCAGATATAGTAAAGTATCTGCAAAAGACCTACAATAAAGCTCTTTGAGTGTTGAACATTCCTCTCCCCCTCTGCCATTGTAGTAATATAGTAATATGCTTTCAGAAAATAAACTGGAGTTCAGCAAGGGTTAGATCATTTGAAGAAAAGGAAATAATCTAGCAAAAAGTCTTCGTTAGTTTTTGAATTCACATCGTTCAGCCTTTCAAATTGATTGACATTCTTTCAAAGAACACCATTAAAGTTTGTAATTTTTTTAATGCCATCAACTGTACACTCAATGTTCAAAAACAGTAATTTGTGTAGTCAGGCAACGATCAAAGAGATTGAAAGTTATTTCATCCTTAGTGTGACTTCAAAATTTATTATTTGCTATCATCACATTTAGATCTAAGATCTTATTATTTTATTATATAATAATGTATGTTTTTATCTAAGGCAAATTATTTTATGCCCTGTACATCTTAATTCAGTTATAGAGAGACATGCTAGAATGTTTTGATTTTTTTTTTTTTTTTTTTTTTGCTTTTTGGTTCATACTTGGCGATGCCCAGGGGTTACTCCTGGCTCTGCACTCAGGAATCACTCCTGGCAGTGCTCAGGGGACCATATGGAATGCTGGAAATTGAACCCGGGTTGGCCGCATGCAAGGCAAATGACCTACCTGCTGTGCTATCACTCCAGCCCCTAGAATGTTTTGATTCGTGAGGTGCATTTTCTTTATTGGATCTTTATAACTTTTTATACTTACAAATTTTATTTTGTATTACCTGTATTTGTGGATTACTCTCATAAAATCATTAGTCCTCTCTCAAAAGCTTTAAATTACTGATTTGAAATCATCTAAACTACTTGAATATGTGCTCCATGAAGTTTATCTCTTCATTACCTAGAATAGGAGCAATTTTAATTAAATAAATGGAAGTTTATATTTTCAATTAAGGCAAAACAATGATTTGAGAAATCACTACTGGATTTGAGAAATCACTATTGATAGATTTTTTTTTATACTGAGTTAAAGAGCTTTGATCAAATCTCACTTCTGCTAAAAGTAAGATGATGCAGTCAGGTATACATCTGAAAGTTTGCAATAGTTACAGTTGGGAATGTAGAGAAAACCTCAAGGAAATCCAAAGAAGAAATTTTAAATCCAGTAATTATGGTGACAATTGTTACACACAATCATATGAATATGTAACTTAGAGTCAGAGAGTACAGGGGTCACTTTGCAACATCCAACCCAAAGTCAATCAACCTGTAACCATATGGTCCTCTGAGCACCACCAGGAGTAATGCCTGAGCACAGAGTCAGGAGTAAGTCTTGAGCACCAATGGAACTGTCCAAAAACCAAAATAAAATAAATGACTCTAAAGGCAGAATTTTTTTTTAATGTAAGAGTACTGCTATTCAGCCACTGATTAGCTGATTGAATTGGGCATGAACTCCACTAAATGCAGAAGTTTTAATCCAGTTAAATAATTTTGAGATTTTTGCCAAATGAATTGATACAAAGACAGAGAGGAAGCTAGATTGCCATTTTTAAGAGACTATTTGAAAGATGGGCTTCTGAGGTCAATTTAAAATTATGTAGAAAAATTAGTGAAGAGTAAAAGAGTAAAGTAATTCAAAAAATTACAAAGATCCATCAGTTTAGATTATAAGAAATATGAGTTTGTTTCTCTCTTTTTTTTTAATCAAGATGGGATAGTTTGCTTTTGCAGTAGAATGACCATGGAATTTATATAAAAGCGATAATAAGACTTGATGACATAGAAGGAAGAGCAAGAAATTGGAGGCTAAAGTTATCCATGTGGACAATGAAATAACCAACAGTGATACCATTGAGTAGAAAAGGAATCAGACAGGTATTTTCCATGAATGTGAGTGAATTATCTGAAAATGAGTAGATAACTGTGCAGTTCCAGGAGAAGGCATCTATCTTGGCAACAAGACCTCAGTAGTTTCAGAAGCTTGTGTAGTTATGGTTAACAATTTAAAATGCAATACCAAGAAATTATAAAGATGCCTGCACTGCTTATAATGATCCTAAGACAGGACATAAAGTTTGCACTGAAGGAAGGCATAGGTAGCTAACATCATAGATATGAACATAGTACAGTAGGACAAAGCTCTGCTTTTAAGAAGTCCACAGTCTTCACTTAGTGCTCTCCTCTCCCTTGAAATTCTTAATTTTTAAGCAAGTGGTTCTTTGTTTTTACTATCTATTAGTCATACCCAGATGCATTGGCCAGGAATCGAACCTGGGTCAACTGCTTGGAAGGCAGCTATGCTCACCACTATACCACCAACGCTGCTGAGGACTGGAGCGATAGCACAGTGGTAGGGCATTTTCCTTGCAGGCAGCCAGCCTGGCCGAACCGGGTTCAATTCCTCTGCCCCTCATGGAGAATCCGGCAAGCTACCAAGAGTATCTCGCCCACACGACAAAGCCTGGCAAGCTACCCATGACGTATTCAATATGTCAAACACAGTAACAACAAGTCTCAAAATGGAGACATGATACTGGGCCTACTCAAGCAAATCGATCAACAATGGGAGGACAGTGATTACTCATATCCATCTTATAAGTGGTCCTGTTCGGAAGAAGTAAAGAAACTGGATTGTGGGTGAAGCAAGAAGCAGCACAAAGCCACTGAAGACTTCTTTAGAAGACACCCAGTACCAAATACAGCACTTTGATGGGAAATCAAGAATGTTTGGGGGAAGTCGGGGACTACAGGTTTCATGTGATATCTAGTTTCTACTCTTATAGGGCATTACGGTTGAGACGTGGGCAAGGGATAAAGACAGCAATCAACATCAACCCACTCCATGTATTAGTATGCATTAATTCCCTGTGATGTATCACAAACTTGGTGTTATTTTCTCTTAGTAATGGAATTCAGTGCTTTAAAATCAGACTGTTTGGCAAGGTAACACTCTTTTTAAAGAGAATAGAAATATTTTTCTTTTTTTCCCTTTTGATCTTTATTTATATTTTATTGTTTCCTCCTTTAGCTTTCAAAAGCTAGAGTTTTTTTTATATTCCTTGGTTTGTAACTGCTAATTTCAATATCTGCTTCCATCTTCATATCACCTTAGTATTTCCCCCGTACTATCTATAGTCTCCTTCTTGAAGAGTATACCTAGACCTGTGCTCATAAACCACTCCTGATTAGGTTCTCAAGTCCTACTCTTGGCTTTTTTGTTGGAGTAACATCTAACTTTGTGCTCAGGGGCACCATGGTAGTGCTGAAGGGATCATATGTTGTGCCAGGGTTCAAGCCATTATCATAGCTGCAGCCTCATGTTAACTTCTATATTATCTCTCTGGTCCTATATCTTTCTTTTAAGACATTTTTAGGATTTAGGGTCTATTCAGATATACCACGAAGTTCTCATCTGTGTGATCTCCTAAGCTTTCTTAATTGTGTCTTAATTAGATCATATTTCCAGGTTTGGGGTTAAAACTTCATTATATCTTCTTGGAGACCAGCTTTCAGTATGCCATGGGATGGTCTGAATGTTCTTATAGCTGAGGCTATAAGAACACTCAGACTGGATAAAACTTCGTTATAACTTCTTGGAGACCAGCTTTCAGTCCACCATGGGATGGTCTGAATGTTCTTATAGCTGAGGCTATAAGAACACTCAGACTGGATGACACTGGCTGATAATAGCTTTTTAGGTCTATCTGGTAAACCAACATATCTATAATAATAAGAAGCTTATCAATGTTTCTAAAGCTTTCCAGTTGTAAAATTAATACATATAAAATTTGGAAGATTAAAACTGCCCAGACACTTTCCCTGGGAGTAGCTATCTGTTCTTGGAAATAAAGGGTACAGGGAAACCAACAGTACACCTGGGACAGAGCCAAGTTTGCTTGCAAAAAAAATTGAAAAAAAAATGGGATTCTCCACTGCTCCTTCTTAGCTCCTCCTTAATTCTAGAGGACATGTGGTTCCCTGGTATTAAAGGAGAATATATGAGATGACAATATTTCATCTATTCCTAAAAATAGGACAGTTAGGATGGATGGTGTGACTTTGTGCTTCTATGAGAGGGATTGAATTAATTTCACAAGTCATGCCACACAGAGGACAATTTAAAAATCCATTAAAAATTGGAGAAAAAAAATGTTAAAATAGTCACTAGCTTGTGATC